GTCCTTGTGCAGCGTTATTTGTACGCTCTGATATGCAGGGGCGGTTGAGAACAGCGTGGATTGAGTTGGAGAAGGGAGAGAAGTCGATCAAAGATATTAGATGAAGAAACCACGCAAGCCACATTTTTTTCCGCACGGGAGGGATGAAGCAACTAGAATTTGAGAATTTGAGAATTTGATCAGATCCAGATACGAGTTATAGATAGCTAGAGGGGTAAACCTTGTCCGAACCAGCAGGACAATTCCTCATTCCTCAGATATTGATGGTAGATTCAGCTGCAAACCCTCCATGACGCCGGTGGACAGGATGCAGCTAATAAGCAACCGAGGCTACAGGCGGCTGGTCAGATGAACAGAGGCATGCAACTTGACGTCTTCTCGTCTTCATAGCGCGTGGTCAATTGGGCGAGAGTGATTGGGAATTCGGCGAGAGGATGCAAAAACGAAGACGGCGATGAGAGAGGGGAAAGGCGGGATGGGTGATGTTGGTTTTGTTGAGGAGCAGGTACCTGTACAAGATTTTGCACTGAAGCAACGCTTCTGGGCGTGTACCGGTACCCAACTCCGCATTCAACAGTATTCCGTATTCCATGGCAGATTGACCGTGTTAGTCTGAATAACTGAAGACTCAAGAGGATTAAAGATGCCAAAATAGTTCCATTATTCCATAGTTATATTTCCGTACTCAGCTTGTACGTGTATTTGTGCTTCATCCAATTTTTAGAGACCAAGCCAATGAGATAAATATTAAAATAAATACTGAAGAATATTTAAACAAATAAATAAATGCAAGACGTTTTGGTTTTGCTATGGAATCTATCTACTAAATACTCTATTTACTTCCCAGCCCAATCTCCCTTTTTTTTTTTTCTTTCCCTTTTTCATTGTATGTAAATAAGTTGAAGCTGTCTGGTTTGGTTGCTGAGTCTGCCGCTGTTGGTGTTGCTGAGTTGCGTGCGAGTCCAAGTCCACATCCACATCCGCTTCCACTTCCAACTTCTCCTATTTATTTAAATATCTTCATCTCTGTTTCATCTCCTTTCGGTTCCTTGTCTACACCCTCTCCCCCGTCCCTCTCCACTCGTTTGTCCGCCTTGTTGCTGTACGTGTTCGTCCTCTGGCTGGATGTTCCATTCTCTCTTGCTAAATAACCTAGCTTGAACACCTCCAGAGCTCTCTCTCTCCCTGTCCAGAAAACTTTCCGAGGGTTTCACACTCCACAACGCCTCACCAGGAACGAGATCCCACAATCCAGACGACGAAAAATAACCACCTCTTCCATCCCCTCTCCAACGACTCCATCCCCATTAATATACACTCAGGCGATTTACTAGCTTCGATATCGTCGGTGTCTGCGACCAATTGGCCCCGAAATCTCAGTCTCGTCGCTCCGCTCGCGGGTAGTTTCCCTCCCCGCGTCCGCAGGCGACACTTATAACAGAAGCTCCACCACAACTGCTTGCGCACCATATTGCCCGTTCGAACGGCTCTCTGTAGCTGGGCGGTTATCGCCACGGCTACCCTTTCTATACAATGGTGAAGACCCTCTCCAGCCAGCCCAATTCAGTTTCCGAAGTCAATGCCTGTGTTTCTCCCATGGAAGGCTGTCGGGCGGCCAAGATGAAGCCAAAAGAGGAGACCAATTTTCGACAATGGGTGCTGCAAAATCAGATAGGTAAATATAAACTCTACCCTCTTATCTATTTGATATCCCATTATTCAAACACTGATACAATTATGTCTGTCTGTATATAGGTATCTGCATCACCATCCTCACAATGATATTCGCCCTGCACAATCTCTATCCATCTCTAAGACCGTACACCTCCCCTTTCCTGCAATTACCGCACTACCAGCCTGAGAAGGGTACATATGTCCAGGGTTGGGATGATCTTTATTTTGCCATGGGAGGCGTTCTGGCATTCACTGCCGTCAGGGCGATCGCTGTCGAGTGGATCTTCCAGCCCCTTGCCCGAAGATACGGTCTGAAGCATAAGGCCGCCGTCCGGTTGGCGGAACAAGGCTGGCTTCTTGTTTACTATTTTGGTTTCTGGACTTACGGAGTGGTAGGTTCCTACTATTTGTTTATGTGTCTCAATGCGCGGCCTTCTTTTCATTGCATTGTTGAATTTTGAATCTCCTGCCACCCCCCCCTCCTCCCCCCCCCCGGGGGGGGGGGGAGGAGAAACACACACAAACATCAAAATTTCCTCTCAAAAGATAGGAAAATGCTTTGCTAATTCTGTTTTAATCCCTTTGCTTTTTATAGTGCCTTTGGTACCATTCTAAATACTGGAATAATTTCCGCGAGATATGGACCGACTGGCCTTCCAGAGACATCTCCGGCGTCTTCAAGTGGTACTGCCTGACACAGCTGGCGTTCTGGTTCCAACAGATCATCGTCATCAACATTGAGGAGAGGCGGAAGGATTACTATCAGATGCTGGTTCACCACATCGTCACAAGCACTCTTTTAGGCTCTGCTTATGTCTATGGCTTCTACAACGTCGCCAACGTCGTCCTCTGTATCATGGACATCGTCGATTTCCTGCTGCCGGTAAGACGCACATTTCCACTTCTACCATGGGGAATCAACCTGTCAACAGTCTAACCGGTAAATAATAATTATAGGCCGCAAAAATCCTTAAATACCTCGGATACGAACGCGCCTGCACCGTAGGGTTCATAGTCTTCCTCGTCACCTGGGTAATATCGCGCCACATCATCTATAACCTCCTTTGGTGGTCTATCTACGTCAACGTCCCCGACGTTATGCCCTACGGCTGCTACTCCGCCACGACAACGAAGATGATCTCACCCGCTGCCAACACCACCCTGGACAACGGCGCCGCATCCATAGACCTAAACAACTGGAACCACCTCCTCCACCCATTCCAAGACCTGGGCGGCCGCATCTGCATGAGCCCGCGCATCAAATGGGTGTTCCTCTCTTTCTTGCTTTTCCTACAGATCCTCGCCCTTATATGGTTCACGATGATTCTGCGTGTGGCTGTTAAGGTGCTGAAGAGCGGGTCAGCGGAGGACTCACGGAGCGATGACGAAGGGGAGGAGGAAGAAGAAGTGAATTCGGAGACTACGAGGATGGGTGGAAATGGGACAATTGCTGGTGTTCGTGATGGGATTAATGGTAATGGGACCGCGATCGTTTCGGGCAGTTCTACTTCATCGTCAACCGCGCAGGGTCATCATCCTGTGCGAATTCGGACGGGTCGGGGCCGGGTTACGTTGAGTGATCAGAATGACCGGAAAGCGTTGTTGGGGCGCATTGGGTGTGATAAACCCTCATGAAAATGGGTAAAATCTATTTCCCCCCCTTTTTCTACGAGCACATTTTTTGTTCTTTTTTTTCAATTTGGTTCGATTTGATTTAATTGAAGATGAAAACCAGATTTCTGCAATATCTAGTTCTCTTTTTTATATATTTTGTTTCTACATTCTGATATTTCTTTTCCTGCTTTTCTTTCATACCCTCACTTTATTTTAATCTGCGCTGTTAGTATCAGTCACATCTATTTACTTCCTGATTCCTGCTTGTACCCATTTCCGTCTTCCTTCCTTTCTTTTTATATTCTAACAGGCCTCTTTTACATCACTTACCATGCCTGCATCATGAATTCCCTTCCGTTTTGCTGCTAGCTTTACCCCGCCATTCACACCATGAAAGACCTTGCTTGACCTTTTCCCCCTTCTCAACCTCCCTCCACAGACTAACAACAGGTCCGTCATTTTGTTTACACAAATTTGAGGGATTATTCATGCCTGATCATGTTTTCTCCATACATACATACATTGATGTCCAAATGACTTCCCCACGTTGCAGCTCTGTTGTTATATCGGCTCTGATCATTGGTATGGTTTATCGTTTGTCTAAATCCAGGGGATGGGATGAGTGAAGAATATGCTGGGATGGATGATATGACCAGAGAGTTTTTCCTATTTTGTTTAAACGTTCAATATGCACACCTATTCTGTTTTGATTTTGATTTTCCGCTTTGTTTTTTTTGTGTTTATTACTTTGCTCGCCCAGATACCACCCTTTTTAAACGGACATATTATATATACCCAGCTAAGTAGGTTTTGTTAGATTTTTTTTTTTTTTTTTTCGCCCTTCTTTTCGTTCGATGTTGCTCAGATGAGGATTTATGTGATTTAGCTACAGAAGACTGAATTGAGCTTGATTACTTCTAAAAGAGTGTCTGTAGTTTTCAGCTGCCCACATATTTGAGATTTTATTTAACTATATCATGGTCACTACTGGCCAGGCTGTTATCTGTATGTACAGTACATTGTCTCTGAAATTCCCTAATGATGAGATATATATATATATATAAGATTTTATATTCTCAAACTCTCTCCTTTAATAACAGATGTCTAAAGATTTCTAATATAATAGTATTCAAACGGAAAGTATCATATATTTCTCAATAAAGTCATTAAAGCTCAACATAGTCTTCTTTACTTAGCTCTCTACAATGCAAGAGTATGAACGGTTTGATAAAACATAGGAGGTTATTTTACTAATTGAGGGGGCAGACATCTATTAGGGACATATGTAAGAAGCCTATAGTATAGGCCTTAACTGTGCGTAAATTTCAGTGCGCGCGATGGATATCTATACTGATATCATTTGAGAGCATATCAAAGTGAGAAGAGACGGCGGTTGTGAGAGAGAAGAGCTTCATTCATAGCCATGTTTTCGTTCGTTTGCGTCTCTCAAATATCCCGACACTGTTCCGTTCATAGTACTGAGCAGAAGGGGTGGCGCTCACGAAACTCTACGGTATATACATATAATACATGATCCGCCCAATGTACATGTACATGTACAGTGTAATAATATATCTGTCTGTGATAGCCATTTTCGAGACATCAACAGTCAACCACCCTTCCCCTACATACCACCCAACCGCCCGCCCCAAAGGGCAAAAAAAAAGAGAAAAAGAAAAAGAAAAAGAAAAAGAAAGGTAAACCAGCCCCTTTTATAAATCAGACTCCAGCAATCCTGTCATATACTGATTCCCACGGAACCAATCCTGCAGCGTCGGAGGCATCATCTCCCCCACACCTGCACCATCAGCTGGTACCTGCTGGCCAGCTGCTACACCTAGCGTACTACCGCTGCCCATACCAGTGTTGATATTATTATTCATCATTCCTCCAGCCGGAGGGCCGAAACCCAATTCCCACAGATAGCTATCGACTTCATCCGCGCCCCATTGCATGTCCATTTGCTGACTAGCATATGCAGTCGCGTCGTCGATCGCTGATACACCAGTATCCCCATAGTTAGCACCAGGATTAACATTAGCACCCTGCTGCTGTAGCTGCTGGAACTGCTGCTGCTGCTGCTGCTGTTGTTGGTGCTGTTGTCCTTGTTGCTGCTGCTGCTGGCGCTGCCCCTGCCCCTGCCCCACCCCCCACTCCCTCATCCTTACATCAACATACAACCGCGCAACCTGATAAAACACGGCACAGAGCTTACAAAGCCTGTCCGCCGCCTCGGAAATGTGGCGCGCTGACTCCAGCGAGCTGGAGACTTCCCCCAGTAGCTTCAGGTCGGCCAGATCCGCTGTGGCGATCGTGTGCGTGAACAGCACTAAGTAGGGCGTGAAGGGCGAGTGCAGGAGCGACCAGACGATATATCCTCTGAAGAGATAGTCGCTGGCCTTTTGGAAGTCGACGGTGAATTGTTGGTGCAGGCGCAGGGCGCTGCGGGCGGAGTTTACGCAGGCGGGATCAAGATAGGTGGAACCCTTTGGGGGGCTTTGGTTTTGGTGCTGGGGCTGGTGCTGATGCTGACTTTCGTGCTCTGGTGGGGGTGGAGGCCTTGCGCGGAATATGATGGTGAGGAGGTGGTGGTAGGAAAGATCGGCCATGGAGGAAGCGTAGCGGAAGAATGTGGCGTGGTAGGCTGTGAGATCCGAGTCTGGCTGCTTTGGATGCAGGATTTAGTAAATATAACCAGGAGATCACACCGGGGCTAACGAGATTTTCGCCGGAGAGGGGCGAGAAGATCGAAAACTCACCGGAACATATCCAACTCTCCACTTCTCTACCTCCATTGCTAGATTGTACGTTCTCTCCGCCCGTACCTCTGCGCTCTCCGATAACGCCTTCGCCGAATACAACTTCTCAAATATCTGCGCTGCAACCTTCGCATACGTCACCCACACCTCATACATCGAGTACCAGGGACGAAATTTGGGATCTTCTGGCGGACTTGGAAAGTCAAGGGCAATATCGTAGTCCTGCAGTGTTGAGCTACGGCCAAGCGATAATGTTAGGTCTTTATCCAGTACGTAAATAAACCAAAATAAGGACTTTCTCTGATATTCTTCCTTTTCGCTGACGCCTGGGCCGGAGACGCTGTGGTGATATCCTAGGCTCTGGCACATGCGGGCAGCAGCGCTGACGAAGGCCCAGCATAGGGATGGCTTGGAGGCCTCGGTGGCATGGAAGGCGGCTAGGGCTAAGGCCTGAGTGTTTTCGTAAGACGGCTGGAGAAACAGGTCGAAGGTGTTGAGGGCTGTTTCGAAGTTTGAGCGACACATGTTGGAGTAGTGGGCAAGACCGCTAGGCATCAGGGATGTTAATTCCGGCGGTGGTGGTACCTGTTGTTCATGGCGGCGGAGGTTGTCGTCCCGGTGGTGGGAGCCTGGTAAAAAATAATGCAGCTCTTCAAACATGTAACATAGCGTACAGTTTACGATGGCAAAGTGGGCGGCAGAGTACTCCTCTGTACAGAAGTATAAGTCCTTGCAGAATTTGGTGATAGCAGGGAGGTCGAGGAAGGGGAGATTCAGGAGGAAAAAGGGGTGCGATGCTGAGATCAATTAGTAACTATGCCATTTCCGCGCATAAGATGGATAATGGAGAGCAAAAATATTGAAAGCACACCCTTTGCATTCTTCAGTACAGCCAGCACCACCTCCAGCGGCGGCATCTCCAGCTTGGAAAGATCAGCATGGGTGGAAGCCGGTTTTTGTCCTGCAAACCGTAACGTATGAACCGAAGAAGGAAGCTTCTGTCTCTCAACAATATCCTTTAGGGCTGCGAGCGCATGCATCATCTCCGGACTATGTTCTGCAAGGGGTGTTTTCACTACCACCTTCTCAAACAGCTCGCTGGCGTGCGCGGAATGTGCACTCATGGACGGTTCTCCTTCAAACTCGGGATTTGTCGTGTTGCTATGGGTAGATTCTGCGCTTGATACCGTGGCAGGGACAGTTGCTGCCTGTGATGGTATCCGTTTCTGCTCTTTGCGTTCTTCGTGGAAGTCATTGGAACTGGACACGCGGGATCGTAGTTCCTCCTGTTGTTGTTGTAGTAGTTGCAATGGAGACTTGTTATTGCTACCGTGATTGAGGGTAAGGTCACGCAGGAGATTTTCAATTCCAGCTAGCCGCTGGTCTATGATTTCGATCTTTTTCTCACTGTTCAAGCCTCGCTTTTAGTCTTTGCTCGGAATATATAAGTACCTAATCAAGTACCCAGCGGGAGAACAAAAGTTAAAATTCTAAAATAGCATACTATTGATGTGAAATCAGGACCCTCTGTCGCTGTTCCCTCACCCGCGGAGAGGTTCGACAGACGGATTTTGCAATTCGACAGTTGGAGCAAGGAGCACCCCGATCACATTTAATCTTTCATGAAGCAAGGCAACTAGGTAAGCATATGTAATGTCTTTTATATTATGATATTGAACTAAGTATTGAAATCGACCAACCTTTCGAATGCGGCAGTTGTCGCACTGTATTTGTTCCCCTTGTTAGCAGGAGGTATTGCAAAACTCCAGTTTTTACTTTGACCCCGCAGAGGTACAGCGTAAGAATAGTATTTATTATAAGTATAAGGAGGGGCTATAAGCGGGACGAAGGGGCATGTCTCCGCAAATACATGTGAGAGTACCTACCGCACGAGAGGCGGAAGGCTCCTGGCCGAGCGGCACATCGCCTTTGTCGATTTCCATTTTCCCTTGATGGTAAGGGGATAAATAACTTATCAATAACAACAATAGAGCTAGCTATGGGGGTTTCGGGTCAAGCTCCAGGCCCAGATCCCTTACGCGCGGGGAGGGTAACTTAGCAGGTAGCTAGCTAGCTTGCTTGATAGTGTGGCTGCCAGTTAGCTCAAGCCAGGCAGAGCAGTCCTTCGGCATATACTATGCATGGTGGTCTCATTTAGCTGTGGACGTTTCGATCAGAGAACACAGGGGAAGCTGGCCGTCCATCGCAAATCGCAAGAATCACCAGCATGATTCTGGTTTTGCAGTCACACACACCCAATCTGGAACTGTGGAGGGAGGGTTTTGATGGTTTTGATATCTCGGGTCCCGCGGGCGCCGAACACCTGAGGCTGAGTCGAAAACCGGCATAGTGGGGCTTGGCGATTTGCTGCCTTGCCAGGCCCTGATTGGCTGTGGAGGAACATTCGGGCCGGGGTGGTCTGGACGCCGAGAGTCATTCCGGACTCAGGAGGCTCTAAGAACAACGTCGCTGTTCGTGTTTGGTTAAGGGGGAGCATGTAACCAGCAAACTGGCGCAGAGAGAGAGAGGGTCTATGACGCTGCCCCGGGACTTGAAATTGCCAAATACGAGACGGAAACATATCTTTCCATTCCCATGAAGAATCCCTGGTCTAATCATCTGGACCAAGACAGCGCTGCCCTCGGGTTCCGTAGCTCTATGGGTTGGGAGCCGTGACAAGAAAATTAAAAATGTTGCCTGGTGACTAGAGCTTCCGTAGCTAGCTTCATTTTGAGGGCGAGAGCCACTGGGCAGAGAAAAAAAAAATATTTAGATAGGCGAACCCCAGATTTGACATTCAGAAATTCCAGCATAGCTCTCAATTTGAATGTCAACGACTTTTTCGTCATGTCGCCTGAAGAAAAGCCGCCGTCGTCAGCACAAAGCTCGGATGGCGAGACCAAGGAGGAGAAGTCACAGGAGGGGGGGATGGGACATTTAATTGTGAGCATCCGTGTAACATCCATCTATGGCAACCTCTGTCTGTATAGATCTAATATAGAAACAAAATAATAGCGGGTGTTTTCCTATACGGACTCAAGTTCCTGGGCACTCTATGGTGTTTCTTTCATCGCAGCCATCGCAGCTGGCGCTGCCATGCCATTGATGACCCTGGTATTCGGTGGGTTTGTAACTACTATTACGGATTTCTCTATGGGAATGGCATCGCCAGACGAATTCCGTTCAGAAGTGAACAAACTTGCGTGAGTTTGAGTTCTGATTGTTTTGTCCAAATCGGGAGACATTTTAGAGCTAATCATAGGAAAGGCTTTGGTTCATATACCTCTTTGTTGGCAAGTTTGTTCTGACCTATATCTTCACGGTACGAGTATATCATCTGCTCTCGATCACACAACACAAACCTATATATATATACTGACGTCTTAAAGGTGGCTATTACGATTGCTGGAATAAGAACTACCAAAACTCTCCGTGTGGACTTCCTGGAAAAAACCCTCCGCCAGGATGTCAACTTTTTTGATTCCTCAAACCAAGGGGCTACCGCAATGCATGTAACAACAAACGGGAATCTTGTTAATCAGGGCATTGCTGAGAAGCTGGCCTTGACCGTTCAAGCCACCTCGACCTTCTTTGCTGGGTTTATTATAGCTTTCGTTGCCCAGTGGAAGTTAACCTTGATCGGAATATGTATTATTCCAGTGATCATCGTGACTATGGGGGTTTGTATCGCGGTCGATACAAAGCAGGAAGCAACAGTGCTAGGATTCTACAACAAAGCTGGTGCATTGGCGGAAGAAGCCTTCTCGAGCATTCGGACGGTTCAAGCCTTTTGGGCGCAGCCGCGTTTGGCGAAATCGTACAATGAGTACCTGCAGCTTGCGCATCTAGAAGGGAACAAGAAGTCTCCGAATTATGGTGTCCTGTTCTCAACCGAATTCTTTTGTACCTACTCCGCCTTTGGTCTAATCTTCTGGCAGGGGGTCAGATTTCTGTCAAGAGGAGAAATTGATGATCCCGGGACTATAGTCACGTACGTAAATTATCCCCTACCTCCTTCAACTTGATTGCTCTCCACATTCTCGCTAACCTAAAACATAGGGTATTGTTTTCCATTATCATATCGGCAAGTGGAATTTCACAAATGGCTCCCCATACCATAGCTTTCAGTAAGGCAGCTTCCGCTGCTTCAGAGCTCTTTAAAACAATTGATCGCCCCTCTAAAATTGATCCCTTATCGGAGGATGGTATTCGCCCAACCGAATTGAACGGAGATATCAAAATCAAGGATGTGAATTTCTCCTACCCTTCGCGGGCTGCTTTTCCCGTTCTGACCGGCTTAGACCTTCATATTCCAGCTGGCAAAACTACTGCATTGGTTGGCCCAAGCGGGTGTGGCAAAAGCACAATTATTGCACTTCTTGAGCGCTGGTATAACCCATCGAGCGGTACCTTGACTCTCGATGGTCAAAACATTGATCAACTCAACCTCCATTGGCTTCGGACGAAGATCCGGCTTGTTCAACAGGTATAATATCCTACCATCCGAACATATTTGGAATATGAGCTAATTACCCTAGGAACCCGTTTTATTCAATGGAACAGTCTACCAAAACGTTTGTCACGGCCTAGTTGGAACAGAATCAGCGCACATGCCAGAATCCGAGAAGATGGAGCTTGTTGTCGAAGCTTGTAAGCTAGCAAACGCCCATGACTTCATCGAGGAATTACCAAAGGTAGGAAGCCCATTCAGGAAAGAAAACTATTTTCAACTTTAACTGAGACTCCTGGTAGAGTTACCACACCGAAATTGGAGAGAGGGCAAGCATGCTTTCGGGAGGCCAAAAACAACGAATCGCTATTGCTAGGAGTATAATATCTAATCCGAAGGTCCTTCTCCTTGACGAAGCAACGAGTGCTTTGGACCCACACGCAGAGAAGGCTGTTCAAGGAGCAATTGACAGGGTCTCCGAAAATCGCACCACTATCGTCATAGCCCATAAGCTTGCTACAATCAGAAACGCGGATAACATTGCGGTCATGGCAGCGGGCAAAGTTATTGAACAAGGGACTCATGATGAACTGGTCGCAGCTGGCGGCGCATACGCGCATCTTGTCGGTGTTCAGGATCTTGGCAGCAAAGCAGATGGTGAACCAGGGGAAGAAGGATTTGAGGCAGCGGAATCTGTTAAGCCAGCGGAGCGTCGTATCTCGTTGATGCGAACAACGACAACCAAATCTTCCATACGACCTGCGGATGCCCCCGCGGAGGTATCTGAGCGCCCACTTTATGCGATGAAGCACAGCCTGTTGAAATGCTTATTCGTATTTTTGAGAGAGCAAGAAGGGACGAGATTTCAGTATTTTCTTGTCGTGATATCTTGTGTCGTGGGTGGTAAGTACATCCATCACTCCGTTGCCCCCTTCAGAGCCTTGATCTAACTTTGCGACAACAGGTATAACGTTCCCTGCCCATGCAATTCTGTTCTCGCGTCTGGTTTCTGTATTCACACTTGAGGGCCCAGCCATGGTAGACAGGGGAGACTTTTTCTCTCTCATGTTTTTTATTGTCGCAATCGGAAACCTGTTGGCTTACTTCATGCTGGGATATGTTTCAAATCGTATTGCCCAGGTTCGTTGAAGACTGAAGCAAGATGTTTCTCCATATGCATATTGCTAACTTCCAATGGCAGGTTGTTACCCACCGATTTCGCTCGGAAATATTTGAAACAATCCTCGGACAGGATATGGAATTCTTCGACAAGCCAGAAAATGCTGTTGGTTCTTTAGCCTCCAGCTTGACCACCAAACCGACACAACTACAAGACCTCATGGGATTTAACATGCCCCTAATGTTAATCGTGGTCGTTAATTTAGTCTCGAGTTGTATCCTTGCACTTATTGTCGGATGGAAATTAGCACTGGTCACCATATTCGGCGGCTTGCCGGCTCTGCTGATCTGTGGGTATCTTCGCATCCGACTTGAAATGAAATTCGAATCTCTTACGGGCGATCGTTTTGCGAAAAGTGCAGCACTCGCAAGTGAAGCCGTCTCATCTATCAGAACCGTGGCGTCATTGGCACTCGAAAACCATATTCTCACAAAGTACCATGACAGTATGAATGGAATTGTCAAGGGCTCCATACGGAACGTTCTATGGACAATGCTTTGGTATAGTTTGGCACAGTCGATTGAATTCCTTGTGATGTGCCTCGGGTTCTGGTAAGCGTTTTAAATGCATAAATCTCCTCTCGTTTATGTCGGCTGCGAAATGCTAAGCAATATTTTCCTTCAGGTATGGGTGTCGCCTTGTATCTTTTAGAGAATATTCTACAAGCCAATTTTTCATCGTCTTCATCGGAGTTGTTTTCAGCGGGCAAGCGGCCGCTCAGTTTTTCGCATATACTACCAGTAAGCCACCCTGCTTCTAACTACGATTCTACCTTGTTTTTTTTGTAAGGACCTGGCAGCTGAATCTGTATTAAAAGGTATAACAAATGCCCACATCGCGGGAAATTTCATATTTTGGCTGCGCAGTCTCAAACCTAAGATCCAAGCTCGTGACGATTCGGTCGATCCGGATCTCAACAAGAAACCGCACGGGGACGGTCTCCTTGAACTAGAAAATCTCGAGTTTGCTTATCCGCAACGCCCAGACGCTCGTGTGCTTCGCGGAATAAATGTTACTGTTAGTCTATCCCTTGTTTACCATCGACAACATACATCTATCTAACCGAACCAATCGAAAATCTAGATCCAACCAAGCTCCTTTGCTGCATTTGTCGGGGCATCGGGCTGCGGTAAATCTACCATAATCTCCCTTCTAGAACGCTTCTACGACCCCAGCTCCGGCTGCATAAAATTCGACGAGCACGACATCTCCCAACTATGTCCCCGCGAATATCGCCGGGGCGTCGCTCTCGTTCAACAAGAACCGACTCTGTACCAGGGCAGTATCCGCGAAAATATTGCCATGGGCTTAGAAACGGAGGCAACACAAGAACAGATTGAGGAGGCAGCTCACCAATCAAATGCATTCACCTTCATCTCCTCCCTGCCGGACGGTTTCAACACCCTCTGCGGCTCGCGGGGGACACAGATGTCTGGCGGCCAGAGGCAGCGGATCGCCATTGCCCGTGCGCTAATCCGTGAGCCGAAATTGCTCCTGCTCGATGAAGCAACGTCTGCTCTTGATACAGATTCTGAAAAGATAGTTCAGGAAGCGTTGGAAAAGGCGTCATCGGGCAGGACAACGGTGGCGGTTGCACATCGTCTATCGACGATTAAAGATGCTTCCGTGATCTTTGTATTCGGAAGAGGAAAGGTTTTGGAATCTGGGACACATGCACAGTTGTTGGCCAAGAAGGGGATTTATTACGAGATGTGTCTGGCACAGTCGTTAGACCAAAATATTCCGCATAAAGAGGGGTAGATGGGTTCTAGATTGGGGCCTCGGTCGTTTCATAGCGTCCTGTTTAATTTCTTACTCGTTTTCTTTGTCCATATCCTCTAGTTATCGCTGCTTATTTTTCTCTTCCCTTTTTATTTTAATCTTTGCACAACACCTAGGTTAATCTCTTCTCCCTTCATATAGATCGGAATGTCATACTATATCTGAGATTTCCTTCACCTTTGTTCTTTCCGCCTTCTTACAGCTCACCTGCAACCTACCATACACACAATACTTGCACGCCCGCTTGCTCAATCGCGAGACGAGTCGATATCTGTGTAGACGCAACTTTAATACTTTATAATTTCTATTATAATATGACGTGTAGAGTAGAATACTAAAACTTAATAGAATCATTCTAAAGTGCTTTTATATGAGTAGAATATCGCCTCTAAACTTTCCGAGATGAAGTGTAGAGTGGAATTAGCAGAAGAAATGCAGCGCCCTTGGGAGGGCGGAGGGCGGGGCTTTCAGGGGCAACACCAAAATGAGATAAAAAATGCATATCTGTTGAAAATAACAAGTTAAGAATGATACGAAGAAGTGCGCAGGTGTTATCTCTTCATTTTCTTCCTTTTCCAAAGTGCGAAGCAAAAACTCGTAGAACTTGAAACCTATATATTTTGAACCTATAAAAAGACTCAAGGCAAAACGCAATGCTAGAACGCAGGACATGCAAAAGGAGCAAAGGGACTTCACTGCTTTTGAAAGAAACGTTAAACTGCACTATGCACCTGAGCTACCGGTTGCCTTTTTATAAAGATTAATCAATTGCCACGAAAAGTCCAAAAAAAAAAGTCACCCATATGCACATAAACTAATCTCAAAAATATCCGATAAAATAATCCATATCCTAAAAGGAAAGATTGTGCGAATATGTGGGGGAATCAAATCGTTACTTATCGTGAGGCATCACGGGTCGTGTTGCTGAGCCACTATAGAACTCCTGCCAGCGAATTATAAATGACACATAGAACGAGAGGGCAGATCAAAAATAATGCACTGTACATGTCATTCCCTTATCCTTCACGCGTTAAACATCTTTTGACAACGAAATCAGAGATAAGAACATGCTAAATAGGAAAATCGGCATTCGAAAGCCGCACGTTGGAAGGTATATCGCTGGTCGTTTCAAATTATCATAATTTCAAGCTTGACGGTTCGTAATCAGGAGCTGTTAATGGAAGCAGTGTGTGGTTCATATTTTCAGGATTGGGATCCATAGAAAAAACGGGAGGGCCAGTGTATAACGGCCCTAAGATGTCTCTCCGCATTTCATCTTCATCCCATCGCAAGCTAGGACGATTTTGTCGGGCGAGCGTTTCCGCTTCGGTAATCTGATAGCTCCCGATTCCACATTCCACGTGCGTGGTTAAAAACCCAAGCAGGGTACTGCGTAGATTGTCCCATGATGTCCCACCTCGTTTCCACTCGAGCTTCTTGGCTACACGCAACATTCGTGATACGAACCAGCTTCGCTCTCCTTTATCTGCAGGTTCGTTCGCCATGTACCCTCCATGTCCTAAGAATACCCATAGCAGTGACGAGATGCTAGGGGTTGAATGTGGATTAATTTTTTTGAGCTCCATTGTGACCCACTCAAGATAGTGGTCAAAATTACGTGAGGTAAAATAGAAGTCGTACAACGCAATGTTGAGATAAAGTAGACAGGCCATGCAGGAATACTCATCGATAAAGCGAATGTCACGGATACCGTGATCGTAATCAGGGAGAGTGGTAAGGATGGAATATAGAGGTGTTGACGGGTCAAAAAGATTCAGCCTCGGCCGTTGAAAGTCTTGACCCTGATGATGGAAGCTTTGGGAAGGAGGGACCGCACTAGTAATAAGTGAAAGTTGTAATTCATCGAGAGAGCAGAAAAATGTTAGGAAATCTTCACACGCTCGTAATGCACTCGATATTTCCTCTGGGTCCGTACCCATAGAGTGATGGAGTGGAGTCAGAGGAATATGAAGTTCGGAAGACAGGTATGGCAGACTCGAAGGTACCGTATCAGGTATATCGCCAGTCCAAGGAAGGCTAGCTCCCACGATAGCCCTTGGAGCGCTGCTGAAATCAACCCTATGAAGATTATTCAGCCATCAAATTGCAGACCAATTCAAATTATAACCTCCAACAGGTGCATACCAATAGAGGACACTTTCTAAGAAAGGGCTGGAGGCCCTCACACCACACATACCGCCACGGCGTCGCACTATTTGCCGGATGCCTTGATGATGCATGCGTTCAACTGCTGGGTCCTTGGACCATTTCTGTAATAAATCAGAATCGCACAATAAAAACGCTAGAACTTAAAACGGAGGTAATGCTGACTTCGATCACGGCCATAGTTGCAGCCGCGTAGATTGTACCATCATACTTTCCGCCTACGTCGCTCTGGAGGCGTTCGTTTAATAACCTCAAAGCTCGCATTTTGTGAGTCAGCGATTGAACAGACTCATTCTGACCCGCCGCACCAGTTAGGTGCTTTGAGGAAATGGCGAGCATCGCCTGGAATGGGACTGGGTCGTGCAAAGTCAAGTGATGGAATATCCCTTTAATTGGGTTGTCTTGATACGCATCGCCCATTTTATACATCATCATGGGGTATGTGGTGACGACTAATGTAAACGTGAGCAAGTAACATCTATCAAAAGCTGAGGCAGGGCCACTCACAATGGTGTATCAGATTTTGATCAGGTCGGGTCAATTTCAACGGGTAGCTGCTAAAAGGATCTAGATATCCCGAACCTGGCACTACGTTGAGGTTTGAAGAATGAATCTCCTGGAGGAATGTGGACATATGTTCATCAGTATCGTTTGTCATATTGTCATCATCATCTAGCTTAGGTGTGTGTAGTTCAGTTGAAACGACACGATCCCGACTCCAATCACTTGGGGTATTCTTGGTATCAACAGTCTTCTCATTCTTATCTAGCGACTCAATTCTCGACGAAGCCGGCGAAAGAAGGGTTGCGCTTGCGGAAGTGTTGCCCGCGTTCCAACTTCTAACCTGAGCGCGACTTGATTCCAGGCGTGCGATGCCGTCAAGACGCCGCTGGCGCATATACTGTCGCATCGCATGGCGTCGAACCTGCTTTCTGGACTCTGAGTCCGTGACCAAAACGAACTCGAAAGACTTGTTGGTACCTCCTTGCGGTTTGCTGGATGCCGATCTCGCTGCAGCACTCGGCGGCACATGTTGGGGAGCACAGGAGGCCCTCAAGCGGTTGCTGTTACCTAAAGGGGTCGAGATATCAGAGCCATCCCCCTGGCCAGTCCCCGTGGCAATAGCTTTCCGCATGATGCCATCTTGCAGGGTAACTAAGTGTTAGCAAAGACGAGCTTAAGCTAATTAATTGGGCAAGGCAGCAGGAGATATGGTCCAATTACACGCCTATGAAAGCTACACAGAGGGACGAAGATGTTGACATACGATTGTTCATGAGATGGCACGGCCACCGGTGCAAGGAAAATCACTCACCACTAAGGCAGAGGTGTGGGAAACCGATGTGATTAGGGTAGAATAATAGTGATGGTTGACGTTGGGTTTTTTTTTTTTTTTTTTTTTTTTTTTTTTTTTTTTTTTTTTTTTTTTTTTTTTTTCGGCCAGTATGAAGCTCAAGATCGATTTCCCGACTGGGACAGGTGGAGAATCCTTACCGGAAAAACGTAGGCTTATTATACGACCGGGTTATGGTTGTTCCGCCGTGCCAGTCGCCGACACCGTCGCCGAACTGTAAAATATAATATAATGGTGGATTAGCCGTGGAATCACTGTAAATGAGTTATGAACAGAACAAAATCATCATTGTATTGATAATATCACTGATTTCTATCTACATAATCACTAATTCTAAAAAACATCTCATTTACTGAAATTATTCTCTATTGAAAATCTGTCATGTCTCTCTGTAATTTCTTCCAGATTCTTCAAATCATCTCTATATTATTATCATCATTTCCTGTCATATCCACATTAACATTTATTTCAGAGAACTTGTGAATTGATGTTAAAGTTTATAAAGAGTCAGTATCAATGATTATTTATCATTTAAGAGAGAGAATTTCAGAGAAATTGAGAGCTGTGTATTTATTTATCTATATCATTATTAACTTCTATATAAATCTGAGAATTATTTCACTGATTCTAACTTACTTTTTCACTGAGAATATTGAGAGTTTCAGTACTGCTTATAGTCAGAGAATCAACTGAAGTCAGAAGATTGAAGAAGAAAGAGAGAGAAGAATCAACAGTAGTAACAGAGATATCAGTAAGAAGAGTGAGAAGAGAATTATTACTATTATTAAATTTCTTATTACTGTTACTACTGTCACTGACTGTAACTGAATTCTTATTAAGATAATTTACAAGTCTCTGAATATGCTTCATTATTTCATATATCTCAATGATAATATAGCTAGCTTCAGTATTAATATTATTTATTAAATTTATAAGATTTTTCATTGCTGATTTTTATTCTTTAATATAGCTGACTATCATTCTCAAAAGCTTATAATACACTTCAAGCTTGATAGTTTCAATATTAAGTTTTATCTTTTTAATTATGATTTTCTTCTTTTCTGCAGTAACTTTTTTCTTTTCAATTTTTAATTTCACTCTTTTAATATTTAACTTGATCTTCTTAATCTCAATTTTAACTTTTTCAGCAGTACTGATAATAATATTCAGAGCTTTCAGAGCAATAGTAACACTCTTTATATATTAAGTTTTCACTTTCTGTTAGTGAGTTTTGACTTTCTTAATCTATTTTAAAAGATTCTTTATCAATTTCAATATAGTCTTTTTTATTATTTTCTTGAAATTATCTAATATAGAAAGATAAAAGTTATGAATTCAGATCAGATTATTAACTTAATCTTTTAATTCTTCAGAGATAATTATATATCTCTTTTTCTTATAATTGTAATTTATACAAGGCTTTGAGCTTCTCTTCATCTTATTATAAGCAGCATTTAAATGACAGAGAAAAATATACTTAATACAGTGCTCACACATTGTTCATTTATCAGACTGCTTTATCAGAGTATTCAGATGACTGCTTACTTTCTTCTCTTGAGCCTTTGCAGCAGTGGCATGAGTATGCTTGAGAGTGTTACTTGCCATTTTAATGCTGCTGCTATTGTTATTATTACTGTGATTGATGCTGCTGCTGTTGTTATTACTGTGATTGATGCTGCTACTGTTATTGTTATTACTGTGATTAATGCTGATGCAATGAATTGCTGATATGTGATTCGGAAGAACGTACGACCGTCGGATAATAACGCGGCCGCTTCTGAACTACTAGCATACATGTATGAGTGTAAAGAGGCCATAGCGGCTGCTAATTAATTTAGTGTACAATATTACAATATATAAGAAGCCGGTGTACACCTGTAATCATACACTGGCTTAAGCAATCTTTGAATCACATCTGATAGCATGTCTAAAAATCAGTGAGAAGTGCAGGCTTCTTCAGAGTGTGATAATTCTGTCTAC